AAGGAGGAAGGTTTAGGCCTACCTACCTACATTATTCTCAACCTAAGAGACAGGAAGGCCACAGTCACGTGTGAGCTGTTGAATATAAATAGTCCTGTATGAAAGGGTAGCCTTAATCATTTTAAGAGGGAGGATTTATAGGGAGTATCTAAAACAGAGGGTGAACTACAGCCTGTTACACAAAGGACAGGGCTACAAGGGTGGTCATATTTAATTTGAAAATCATGGGGCGGGAATATTCAATTTTGATACCTGAAATATGTCCAAATTCACATATGCAGAATAACCTCCACCGGCCGTCCCTTGTACTCCAGCAGAGGGCAGCTGTAAATTGCACAATCTATGGGCTATGGGAGGATATGTAGAACAAATTATCCTTACCTCATGCCATTTCAGTCATAATGCGATGAAAGATTGTGGATTTGACACCACAGATGGAAGAAATCATAAGATAATAAAAAGACTAAGTGAGTCAATGGAGTGCAAAAGAAGGGAAGAATGCCAATTCTGTTCAATCGAAATTATGGTTGTGTTAAAATGAATTCAAACAACATTACGTGTTGGTTATCATTTGTACCAAACTTGATATAAAAAATATAACTCCCTTTAAAAGGAGCTGTAGTACTTTAATGAACTTAATCATTTTTACTACCTATTGATGAACAGGTTATAACCTCACATAAAAATCAACCATTTGCCTGCTTTGTCAGTTGCTTAGAACAGCCACAATGCTGCTTCCTATGTGAAGAAATTGGGTCAGATTTTCAGCGAAATCCATTGGCTTATCTAGGCTGTGTGTTTCCCTGCGTGCTCCAGAGCCTCTTGCGGCTAACAAAATGGAGTCCTCTAACACCTTAAAACGACCGGCTCCCTGCACAAAACAGACTCTAACATGCTTGCTAAAATGTCTCGAGTTTATGCTTGTAACCAAGCAGCAAGCGCCAAGTGCCTTAAACCTGCATTCTTTCTAATGGCCAGCACTGGTTGCAAAAAGAAGTCCTACACCTCACTTGATTTGTTACCTCAATAAACACTTTCCTTTTACCAGTTTATGGTCTCTGTCACTAGTTTCAAGTTTTCTTTAATACAGAATGATGTTTATGTAAATTATGGTCCCAGTTAGAGGAAAATAATCGATAATGCAGGGTACGCTGTAGGGTGCGGCTACCTTGTGATAGACAAGTCACGACCTGTCAATTAAGGATAGAGGCAAATCTCTCCACTGCACTGTGTACGTTGTGAGCTGTCAGTGTTTTCATTGATGCAGTTAGACGCTTTCACAGTGCATTTTCAGTTCATAAAACTTAATAGTAACATTTTAGTCGCTAAAAAATGTTTTGTTTAGAGTTTGGTTGTTAGACACTCAAAGGAGTCGGCTGTTTATTTTTTCCAGTAAGTAAATTTTGTTTTAAGCCTGTTTTTCGCTAGCCTAACTTATCATCCCAATAAATATCACAGTTACCATAGTGATGGGCATAATGCCAATTCGAGGCTTCAAAACGGCAGTCCACAATGTCTGGGAAGGTTCTCAGTCTTCCAGGTCATAGTTATCCAACGAAGGTTGAGGGCAACTGGACTTGGTTGAAGATACTAGAAGACGTTTCATCCCTCATCGAAGAGACTTCTTCAGTTCTGACTGACTGGTAGGGAACAATGGTTAATGTCAGGGTGGAAACGTCCACTTGTTATACAGGTGCTGGTCATATAAATAGAATATCAACAAAAAGTTGATTTATTTCAGTAATTCCTTTCAAAAAGTGAAACTTGGATATTATATTCATTCATTACACACAGACTGATATATGTCAAATGTTTATTTCATTTAATTGTGATGATAAAAACCGACAACTAATGAAAATCCCAAATTCAGTATCTCTGAAAATTAGAATATTACTTAAGACCAATACAAAAAAAGGATTTCTAGAAATGTTGGCCAACTGAAAAGTATGAACATGAAAAGTATGAGCATGTACAGCACTCAATACTTAGTTGGGGCTCCTTTTGCCTGAATTACTGCAGCAATGCATCGTGGCATGGAGTCTATCAGTCTGTGGCCCTGCTCAGGTGTTATGAGAGCCCAGGTTGCTCTGATAGTGACCTTCAGCTCTTCTGCATTGTTGGGTCTGGCTTATCGCATCTTCCTCTTCACAATACCCCATAGATTTTCTATAGGGTTAAGGTCAGGCAAGTTTGCTGGCCAATTAAGAACAGGGATACCATGGTTCTTAAACCAGGTACTGGTAGCTTTGGCACTGTGTGCAGGTGCCAAGTCCTGTTGGAAAATGAAATCTGCATCTCCATAAAGTTGGTCAGCAGCAGGAAGCGTGAAGTGCTCTAAAACTTCTTGGTAGACGCTGCGTTGACCTTGGACCTCAGAAAACACAGTGGACCAACACCAGCAGATGACATGGCACCCCAAACCATCACTGACTGTGGAAACTTTACACTGGACTTACAGCAGCGTGTATTCTGTGCCTCTCCTCTCTTCCTCCAGACTCTGAGACCTTGATTTCCAAAGGAAATGCAAAATTTACTTTCATCAGAGAACATAACTTTGGACCACTCAGCAGCAGTCCAGTCCTATTTGTCTTTAGCCCAGGCGAGATGCTTCTGACGCGTCGCAAGGAATGCGACAGCTGAAACCCATGTCTTGCATACGTCTGTGCGTGGTGGTTCTTGAAGCACTGACTCCAGCTGCAGTCCACTCTTTGTGAATCTCCCCCACATTTTTGAATGGGTTTTGTTTCACAATCCTCTCCAGGGTGCGGTTATCCCTATTGCTTGTACACTTTTTTCTACCACATCTTTTCCTTCCCTTCGCCTCTCTATTAATGTGCTTGGACACAGAGCTCTGTGAACAGCCAGCCTCTTTAGCAATGACCTTTTGTGTCTTGCCCTCCTTGTGCAAGGTGTCAATGGTCGTCTTTTGGACAGCTGTCAAGTCAGCAGTCTTCCCCATGATTGTGTAGCCTACAGAACTAGACTGAGAGACCATTTAAAGGCCTTTGCAGGTGTTTTGAGTTAATTAGCTGATTAGAGTGTGGCACCAGGTGTCTTCAATATTGAACCTTTTCACAATATTCTAATTTTCTGAGATACTGATTTTGGGTCAGTTATAATCATCAACATTAAAAGAAATGAACACTTATATACAAATATATCAGTCTGTGTGGAATGAATGTAGACATTATACAAGTTTCACTTTTTGAATGGAATTACTGAAATAAATCAACTTTTTGATGATATTCTAATTATATGACCAGCACCTGTATAGTGTATGCTAGTAACTTGCTAAGCGTTTCCTCACACTTTAAAAGTGGTCTTTTATAGGGGTAGAGATAAGGCTAATATGGCATTACCAGGTGGTTGCTACCACGTGGTGTTTATAGGATCCCTGCTAGCTTGTTAATGCAGTTGCTATCCTACCTGAGTTCCATGAAAAAAATACAAATATTTAAAAAAATGGTTTGATTGGACTCAATTCATATTTGATTGATTTTCACACATTTAAAAACTGCAAATAGAAAAAAAACAAAACAAATTGATTCAGTCAACAAAATGTTAAGCACATGTAATAATTCCACCAAGACACTAGTTTAAGATTTGTGTCTTTAAAGAACACTCTTATGTCAAATGGCAGCAGCTCAACTGGTGATGCTGTAATGTGAAAGACGAAAGCAACTTTGAATCAGCGCAAATTGACACACACCTCTTAATACAATCGGATGTGCATTTGTTCATCTTCCACAGAAACCTGCAGCCTGAATATGACAGCTAGTCGATTCTGTGACAGCCACGATGCAAAGTAACGCACAGCCCACTTTCTGACAGCCTTCTGCCTATAAGCTCAGTGTGTGAGTGTGTGTATGCACGGTATATGCAGAGCTGATGTGAAGCCTCCTGACAGTCTGCGTGAATCTTTTCCAGGCTCGACACTGATTATCACTTTGAGGTTCTGACAGACCGACTCTTTGGACAAAAAAAAGCTGGATAAGAGCCACACCTCTCACAAAACACACATACAATAACAGTGATGGAGGACAGGTGACAGGACAGGTACGCAGATAAGGATTGGCTGCCTGTAGGCAAAACTGTGTGTTACCTTGTAACTAAGGATGTATTTTAAGACCCAAAAGGAATGACTGTTCTTAAGCTACAGAATGCATATTTTGGGGGTCACTCTGGTCCTTTAACACCTCTGAACTACTATCAGCTACTACTACTATCAGCATTGAGCAATAAATTTGGGTACATCAACAGTTTTGAGCACAAATTAGGCTGAAAAATACAAACAAAAATATAATTTCTTGTGGAGCCCCCGACATCCCAAAAGATATTTTGTGCAGGATAAAGATTTGTGTGTACTAATGACCTTTTAAAATCTTCTTATGACATGAGATTAATGTGATATTTTGTTAATCATGAATAATAAATTAAGATCAGGTTTTGGGACTTCAGTTCTCCGTAGCATCGTGTTTATAATGTTCTTGTTTTATATTTCATCTATAAAAAGTAAAAAAACAACAAAAAAAAAAACATCGGATGTCATGAGGTTTTTCAAGAAATGAAGTCTAAACTAAGTCTAAAACTAATCAATCTACTCAAAACTTAATACTATTAAATTAAAATGTAAAATAAAATCTAATGGAATTCCTTTGGTGATATTTCTATGACTATAATAACCAGCATTTGTGATACATCTCATGAGAGAAATGCACCTTGTAGTGTAGTACAATTAAAGTAACATTTTAACTTCTTAAATATATCTATCCAGAGAGAGAGGGAAATTAAAATAATAATAATAATAATAATAATATAATAATAGAACTGAGCAGAAGAATACATGATAAAATACCAGTGGGGCAATAATAATAAAATAAAAAGAAGGCTTCAAGTTCGAGTTTTTACAAGGTGTTATAAAACCTTAAGTGATCCACGGTCTTAGTTTAACAGAAGAGTTAAATGATCTGCATTGAAAATAAGGATAACATGAAACCCAGTCCAATGGATACATTCCTTTATTGTAATTAAAGTCTGCTCTGCTGCACTGCAGGAATGTCACGTCAAAACAGAGTTAAAAAAAAGTTTGCTCAGATGAAGCATTTCATCATCTGTGAAAATAAAAACAAAAAATTCTCAACCATTGCACATCATTAGGCGGCAAAAAAACATTGCATAACATACAAAAAGGTAGCAATCAACATAGTGCTGTATGATTTGAGATTGAGGAGTAATGGCGATGAGGGCTTGAAAACATGTTTTATATATTTCCAGTTTTAATGTTATTCTGATAATGAAGTGTGCTTTAAATTCAACAAAATAAAATCAAGAACAGATTCTGTAGAATTTGCAGTTAAATATGTATAACTGCAGCCCTCACACTGATCAATAGGAAGAGAAACAGCCAGAAAAACAGTCCTCAGTCTGAGGCTGCTCTCTGGACGGACACACACACTGACACCTGACACTCCCTCACTTCCTCCACACCTGAAACTACAAACACTCTGAATTTTGGCTCAACTTCAGTTTCCTTCAACGGGAAATCCTTCATGTGCAGTGAAAACAGCTAGTTAGCGTCACAAGCTATTGAAACTAAAAATGCTAAAGACGCTAACAAGCCATTTGATCCTGTTAAATGTATTAAACCAAAAGTGAAAACATCTTAAGTCTCCTCGTTGAGGAAAAGGAACAGGAGGAAGAAAAACACCAAGGTTCTGTTCAGACTGCAGGGTTTCAGATTCCTGATCTGCTGCTTATTTGTAATTTACGATAGAAAACCATTATGATTGAAATTTTTCTTTATTCTTCCTCTAGTTTTGGTTTGATTCTTCTAGTTTGGACTGAAGCACCAAGTAATCAGTGAGGACTTTTCCTCGAACACAGAGCTGTTTCCCAAACCAGATTTGGAACCACAACAAGGCCATTTTGGCCCCTTAAGGCCCCATTTAATGATGCTAGAGAAGAAAAAAAATAAAAAATAAAAATAATTGTTTTGTTGAAATAAACTGAGGTCACAGGTCCACTGTTGCAATGTGGACAGTGTTATGCAGTGTACATTTTCCACATTCTGATTTTTAAGATATTTGCAGTTAAAAACTGTGAAAGGAAGATTTTGCAAGTAAGGACTTATTTGGGGATATAAGGTCGAAAGACCGTATAAACAGAGCGGTCACAACTGTCAGCATTTAAAGGACTATATTTCAGTTTTAACTATAAATGTTATGGAGGATTTTAAAATATGCTTATTTTTAAACAAATTTAGCCCAACTTTAAAATAATAATACTAAATGCATCTCTGATGACTTTCAGCATTAGTTTTGGTGCTTAAATCAAACACCTGCATTTGATTTGATTTTCTTCAATGTGAATACTTTCTAAATACCCAGGATACAGATTAATTAAAGTGAAGATGGGGTCAGTGCGTCTAGAGAAATTCACCACCCTAGGATACATTAATTAGCAGAGTTATGAACTATGGGTATTGAATCAAGATTTTTCAAGTAGAAGAGAGAAAATTTGCTTTTTCTACGTTTTCATCAGGCAGCAGCAGTGAACAGAACCAGAAAGTGACAGTGTTCCTTCTTTGCTCTCATTAGCTCAAAAAGGGCAGAAAGAGAAAACGTTGCCTTCACTTTACGATCATGCAGCAACAAAAATAAGGGCTTTTGTTTGGAAAGGCATGAAGGGAAGTGAGGGGACTGAACAGATGACGGGAAGTACAAGACACAAAATATGCCTTCATCACTGACTCCGGATCAGTTTCACAGCTCATGTTCCAAACATTAAAAATAAAACCACAGTGTCTGATTGTTTGTTTTGGGGGTTTTGGTGGACAAAAGTTTCCATATTTACCTGCTGTTCTGTTCTAAAAAAAAGAAAAGAAGAAAAAAGCTGCTAGCACTAACAACTGATAGTGCTGGGTGACAGAAAAAATACAATAATGAAATGGATTATTATTTTAATTATTATAATGAAATCTGCTTGACTCAAAACAAATCAATTCCAGACTGTGATTAGGAGAGAAGTCGACAACAATTCCCAGAGAACACTTCAGAAAAACATCCAATCAGAGAGCTTTAGATTCTGTTGCTTGGAAATGGTGGTGTGAAATTGGAGGTTTGCAGCAGTCATCATATAACTTCAAAAACATGCTACAACTCTAACTTCACAGCTTTGACTCTAAGCAACTCTGAGCAACTGCCACAGAGGCTCATGGGTATTGTAGTATTTAGAGAGAATGTAAGGAAGCCTTTTCTTGCCATGAAAACTAGAAGAAATAAAAAGTCAGTAATGGCTAACATAAATATTCTCATGGTCAGTCAAGACCATTATGATGAACTTTAGCATCAATGGTTATTCCTGACCTTTGGATCAAATCTGGGTAAAAATAAAATTGTTTAAGAAATGATAATGAACACTTATATCTGCTTACAGCTACATTATACTGTGTCATTAACCATTTGTAGTTGTTTATATGCTTATAAATGCTAAATAGCCCATATCAGTACTAAAATTTTCAAAATTTTAAGGTGACCAGATCCCACAGCTTTCTTCGGCAAACTTGCTCAGGTGTCATTACATGGCCTGTTTCGGTGAAAGAGTAGGGTTATACTTTTTTTTGATAAAGGCATTTAGTGTCTCATAAATTTTACTTCACTTTATTTTACTTTACCAATTTTACTTTTGTCAGAATTTAAACATCTTTTAACTTAATATGTCAAACTTTCCCTGACAATTTATTTTGATCATTCCTAACTCTTCATCTTCTTAATTTTTATGGCAGGAATGTGCATTCATACCTCCAAAGACCAAACTAAAGGGGGGTGGACACAATTCCTCAGAATGACATTATCTGAAAAAATAAACTCAAACAATTTTACAGAGTGAGATTACAACACCCACTTACTCTCACCCATTCCCCTGATGTTTGGTAAAAAAAAAAAAAAGATGAAGAAAGTGTAAAAGTCACGTCAAGCCGATTTGCTGCCTCACTTCTCTTCTTCACTCTGAGCATAAACAGGAGGATGAGGGTGACCCAGGAGGACAGGTGCATTATGGGTAGTGTAGTTTGACCGGAGCCTGTCAGGTCTGTTGCGTATATGTGGACTCTATGAGATGGCCTTGGCCTCAGGTAAGAAGGCCTCCCAGTATTTTATCAGCTGTGGGAGAAAAACAAAATTATTTTCTTTTTATTTATTTGCCACAAAAGCTTTCTGGTTGTATTCATATTACTTAAAAGTTTATATGTAAAAAATCGTATACGTCGTATTCTACTCTCAATGTATGGAAGTCTGAGGCCACGCTGTATGACAAAATGTAATTTTCTGTTTTAAAATCCAATTTAAAAGTCCATGTTTGAAGATGCTAAATAATTTTAGTGTACTCATTACAATAAGCACTGTTATAATTAAAATAAAATTTAATGAAAAATGGACAACTGCATTCAAATTTAAATTCAGAAATAGCATAATTATTTTTACTTTATTGTCCTTTGTGCATCACAAGGCAAGGCAATGGAAATGTGTCTTTGACGTGGCTAATAATAAAAAGGAAACACAGTAGACTATGTCCTACATTTTGTATTGTGCATAAATTACGATCCAAGTTCAGCTTATATTCAGCTGTGAATAAGTGATTTCTTATTGTCTTAAAGCTTATTTACATAAGCTTATATTGAACCATTGTGCTCAATTATATAAAACAGTATTTTGACTATAGCAATAATAATACGAACATGAGGAAGAAGGAGGATATTGTCTTTGTCTTTACCTGCTGTTGTGTCTGGACCAGTGACTCCAGGTATTTGATAATAATCGTTTTAAAGTCCTTCACTCTCTCTTTCTGTTGAGCAAAAAAAGTCACAAATGTTTTCAGTTTTTAAAATACAGAAAATAAGCATTCATTTATCCATCCTTCTCATTCCTTCAAACCATTCATTTGAAAACTCATTCATTCCCTTCTCACCTCAAACCTGCTGACTTCTTTGCGTATGGTTTTGGAGATTTGTTCAAAGTCTCTTTCTCCCTGCTGAACTTTCCCCTCCAGCTGAAACACACACACAAACACACAAAAAAACAACATTTATAATTTCTGTTTAAATCCCCATTTCAGACGAGGAACCTTGTTGGTCCATTTGTATATTTTGACGAATAAATTCTCCGTGTGTACTGTGAAATCTTTAACTCCTTCTGCCAACCTTCAGAGTATATTAACATCACCTCCAGCCTGTTACAGATGTTAGAGACTTTAAAGTTTCAGTTTACCCAAACTGTAACAACAACAAAAACACAATCTATTGTCCACACTGTATGACTCTACTGATGATTGCTTGACCAATACTGGATTCTCAAGGCCGATACTGATATTCTTTACAATTTTTTTATTACCATAAGTCTAGATACAATTCTTTTAAATTCTGAACAAGACACAGGGAGATTTTACAACTGAAAAAAATACTTGTTAAAGGCGTCTGGGGGACAAACTTTGAAACTGAGACATTGTGTCTACATTTCCTCAAAACACAGTATGGCATTTCTGTCCTGTCGTTACTTATTGGTCCACATTTACACCTAAACCAATATATCTGCAATAAGCTTATATCAGCCTGGACGATATATTACCATTTTAAAAAAAATCTGTCCAAAACGGGTTCTTCAAAGAGCTCAAATCAATTAAGGAGACTTTAAGTCAAACCAAGCGTCAAAAAGGTATAAATTTAAATCTGGCAAAGATCCCCTTTCAAACGGTTAACTTTCTAAATAATGCCTTAGGAAATTTTAATTCTGCTTTAATGTATTAAACAAAACAATATTTTAATTCCACATTTTTGCAAGTAAATAAAAGGATGCAGCTTTCAAATTGTCGTCACTTATTGTAGCATTAAAGGTTCAAAATTTACCAGCTGTAATATTTTCATAATATTTTCCAGATGTTGCACTCATAAGATGACTATCTTTTTAATCACGTGTATTCATCTTTGTTGAATACACGCAACCATTTTGTGAACAATAAACATTTCCTGCATGTTTACTTTCAAATTTTATAATAATTAAACTAATATGATTAAGATTATGTGCTTTTACTCTGGCCCGCACTAAGTTTAAACTAATCAAATAACTAATGCTGTGTTTCTATCCGTTGTAGTTTAGATGAAGATTATTAAATAAAGTTACTGATAGTGGAGACTATTAAATTAAGTTATTGATAAAAGATTGAAATCATAAATTTAATTAG